TGTAACCATGCATAAAATAAGAAAAAATAAATACAATATGGAATATATGAAAGACAAATGTGAAAGATTTTAACTACCAGATTATATTAACAATTATAGATAATTTAAGTGACATTCTAAACACAGTCATTAAAAGATTAGTAATCAGATTGATTTACAAAAATTAACTTCATGGTGTTTATAACCTTATAAATTAAATTTACCTCATAAATAAGCGTATTTGGGTATATACAAACATATATATGTGGAAGAAACTATATACCACATTAATTGAAATAAAGGTGAGCATCTAAATTAATGTCAAATAAAGTGAACTTCACTCCATAAACTATGCCAGGGATAAAAGATACTACTAAATGTTGAAGGGGTCATTTTTTCTTGGAAGACATAGCAGTGTTTCAGGTGGATGTATCTAAGATTTATGTTTCAAAATATATGAGAGTAAAACAGCTCAAAAGTAAAGAAGAGAATATGTAATTATAGTGATTTGTTTCAATTATAACTATCTCTCAGAAGAAGTAGGATGAAAAATTACTAAGAAATCTGAAACACTTTGGAGCCATTATTTAGCAACTTAATAAAATCCCAATTTACAGAATATTTGCAAAACAGATTCTGCGTTAGAAACATCTATGGACTCTTTTAAAGGAGAAGCAAAAATAATTTTATTGGGTCAAAAAGTATATGCAGGGTATGATTAAAATATTTTAATTTTGAAAAAGGGTTAAATAGAAGATGAGATTTCAGAACAGTTATTTTTATCAAATGATATTTTTAACAAATGATATTGTAACAATAAAATCAACAATTTATTAAAACCAATTTTAAAAAGAAAATCAAATATTGTAAATTAAGAAGTATTTTTAAAAGTATCCCATGAAAAATGAAGAAATCTTAAGAAAAAAATCAAATATTCTGAATTGAATGAGAGTAGAAATACATACCAAGTCATACAGGAAAAAAAGGCATCAATAGCATTAAATGTTAGAAAAGAATGTTGAGGTCAAATCAGTGATTGTTTCCCCTACGTTTACAAGGTAAGAACAGAAAATGAAATTTCAAATAAACAGCTGAAACAATGAGCAAGAAAGATGAAATCAATGAAATTTAGAAGAGAAATTGATAGAAAAAAATCACAAGTGTGCTTTCTTGGAGAAAGAATCACTAAAATTTGAAAAACTTGATAGTTAGGAGTAAATAAATCAATAATATAGGGAAATGTTTAAAAACCTGCCAAGGCTCACATGAGTGGATAGCCCAACGTCTACTCTAAAAATAGATGCCTTGGATAGCCCAAGGTCTACTCTAGATATAGATGCTTTGGATAGCCCAAGGTCTACTCTGAAAAATGAGTTTCTAGTTAAAAACACATCCCAAAACTAAACTTTGAAGACTCACAGAGGTTTTTTTTTTGTTTGTTTGTTTTTGTCTTTAATTTTTTTTAAAAAAAAATTCTGTTGGTTTCAAGTGTATAGGTGTTTGGCTGTATGCCTGTCTGTGTAGTTTATGTATGCCTGCTATCCATGGAGACCCAAAAGAAGCATTGGATCTCTTAGGACTGGAGCTGTAAATGGTTGTGAATTGCCATGTAGATACTGGAAACTGAACCCTGGTCCTCTTGAAGAATAGCCAATATTTTTAACCACTTATGCTTCTCTCCAGCCCCTTAAATAATTTTAGTTAGTAAACACAGAATTAGACATCAGGATGACATGTTGAATAAATGCTTAAGACATAAAAAAAAAAAAAAAAACCACATAGGGAAGTCTCCAGGGATACAGAGAGAGATGGGAATGCATTCCAGCTAACTTTAAAGCCAATCTTACTCCTAAATTGAATATCAAATGAGACTACTGCAGAGAAAGAAAACTTTAGGTCAATAAGCTATAGATGTGAAAGTTCTCAGCAACATACTGGGAAATTTAAATTCAGTACTAAGAGACAGGATAAGTTATTCAAATGTACTTCTTCTGGAGCTGTCAGCTGCCAGCATTTGAAAATCAATCACTGTAATCCATTATATCAACAGACTTAAGAAAACAGTTTATAAGTCAGCTGTATCTGACAAAATTTAGCATCAGTTCATTGTAGGTTTTTCAGGCTTGTTGCTACTGCCTGTTGTGTTGTCACCATTTCCGGGTGAGGGGGGCAGGGGTTGAGAAGACACAGACACAATGGCATAGACTCCAGGAGATTCCAGTACAGAAGCTCTTTATTGTAAACAGGTCAGGGGTTTTTATGGGGTTAGGGAAATTAAGCAGCCGTAGGAACTTTTCTGGTTGATCCTTTTGAAACTGGTGGTCATTGAAGGCATGTTGTGAATGGCTAGAGGTGCATGTCATTAGTTACTGATGTGGGATTCCCTTCTGTATGCTGTGAATATGTTTTATTGTCATTAGTTAATAAAGAAGCTGCTTTTGGCCAATGGCTAAACAGAATATAGCTAGGCGGGAAAACTAAACTGAATGCTGGGAGAAAGGAGGCAGAGTCAAAAGGATGCCATGTAGCCTCCACTGGGGACAGATGTGCTAGAGCCTTGCCTGTAAGCCACAGTCATGTGTTGATACACAGATTAATATAAATGGGTTAACCAAAGATATAAGAGCTAGCTAGCAAAATGCTTAAGTGAGGCCAAGCAGTGATTTAAACAATATAGTTTCTGTGTGATTGTTTTGTGGTCTGGGCAACCGGAAATGAATAAACAGTCTTCCACCAACAAACTGGCATGTCACCATGGTTGACTAAATATACGTAAGACCTGAGAAAACTTGGAAAGGAATCCTAAACACAAAAGAACAGAGTTAAGCATGGCTTTTGGGTAGCAGCATTTCAGGTGGGCTCTGTTTGTGAGAAGCAAGCAGAGGCATGATTCCTTTAAAAGAGGTCTTTCTGATTCACAGGTAGCAGGGGAAAAAATGAACATGCAGTTTCAAAACAGCAGCAATGGCTCTGACTCTTTCTGAAGGTTTGGCTATGGAGCATTTAAATGGGGTTTGGGAGCAGAGTGCTACAACTTGTTTAATGGTAACACAGACCTGCTACAGCTCAACCCTGGATGTGGGATGAAGAGAATGACTCTTAGGGGCAGTGAACATGTCTCTGCCATGTTGGACTGGGCGAAGCAAGCAGGCAGGGTCATGTTGGCTCTAGCCACGCTCACTTAGCAGTAAAAAAGGGGTGCTTCTGGCCAGAAACTAGTTGCAGATATACAATAAAGACAGATTCAGAAAAAAAAAAGATCTCTAAATGAGTAACAGTGTTAGATAAATGTACATAGGCTTGAGAGAAAGAAAGAGGAAAAACAGTATAGGCAATTATAATATAAAAGAGTCATAGGAATAAAGGTATAAAGGAATAAAGATAATAAAATAAATATTAAACTTGTAGAAAAAGAATAGAGTAAGAAAAATAAGCCATGTAAAGATGGAGTATGCACAAAGAGTTTAGATTATGTATATTATTGTACTTCCTTTGAACTTTTTGACTGTGAAGGACTTTTGCATAGAGACATTTCATTGTATGGGCTGATAAGCTAAACCACCATATATATTTTAAAGGTATCTTGACTTCAGAATTTGAGTCTAAGGATATGTTGCTTTGGAAAAGTGGTTCTTCTTTTATTTCCACAGAGGATGAGAACCCATGGATTTCTTTCAGACTAATGTTATTTGATGGACCAAGAGCTCCCAAAAGGTCATCATGAACATCCCCAAAATTACTTCACCCATAAAATTAGGAAGTAGTTTGGAGAGAAAAAAAATCTGCTCTTGCCTGGACAGTTTGATGCTATACTGTGTGAACTGGACATGTAGGACCCACAGAGAAATGACTGCTGAACTTGCCTAAAGGTGATAGTGTCCTTTGGGGTTCCTGCTTAATAAAAGAGTCTACAAAACATTTTACAGGATACAGAAGAAAGTGACTGCTTCATGAGAATAATATTATATCCTTCTGGAGTCTTAGATGGAGTTGAAGGATAATTATAGTTTTCCTTAGTTATGATAAAATATAAAGTAGATATAAATATTATAACTGTTATTCTTGCTTGATGTCTGTTTTGATATATGTATTTACTATGTTAAAGTTAAAATCTTCCTTTTTGTTTAAACAGAAAAGGGAAGATGATGTGGGATTCCCCTCAGTATGCTGTGAACATGTTTTATTGCCACTGGTTAATAAAGAAGCTGCTTTCAGCCAATGGCTTAACATAATAGAGTGAGGCAAGAAATCTAAAATGAATGCTGGAAGAGAGAAGGCAGAGTCAAAGAAGAGCCATGTAGCTTCCATTGGGAACAGATGCACCAGAACCTTGCCAGTAAGCCACAGTTATGTGTTGATACACAGATTAATAGAAATGGGTTAACCAAGGATATAACAGCTAGCTAGCAATGTGCTTAAGTGATTGGCCAAGCAGTGATTTAAATAATATAGTTTCTGTGTGATTATTTCATGGTCTGGGCAGCCGAGAACAAATAAGCGGTCTTCTGCCAATAAGTTACTGGGTTTTTGGCCCACTGACAGGTTGTCTTGGCCAATTTTGCTTATGCATTGTGAGTTTTTATGAGCTTGCTTGTGCTTATGCAATCGCCCTGCCTCAGTTCATGATAAAAAAAATGAAAACAGGAAGAAAGGAGGAGAGGATAAAAAGGGGAACGAGGGTAGGAGGGAGAAAGGAAGAAGAGAGGACAGACAAGTAAACTAAGAAACTTTATCCACATAATAGCTTGCATCCACAAAACCTGTATCTATATTATAAAAAATGTTGAAAGATTGAGTATATCACCTAAAAATCATAAGCAAGTCAAAAATGTCTGCCCCCACTTCTGTTTCTGCTTCAATTGCTTTCTATCTAGTGCTCCCAAAATTAAGCAAAGGAAATAAAATCTAGGTCAATTTGAAAATAAAAAAATAATGTCTTTGTGATGATGTCATGAATATCCATGTTTAAAAAATTCCCAATATTGTTCTTTGGTGTACAAAAGTATTTTTATTCTGTAAAATCCAGTTTATCTCTTTTTCTATTTGTTGTTCTATTTGTTGTCTAAGAATCCATTGATAAATCCAAGGTTCATAGTTTTTACAAATTCTGTGATTATAGTTCCTTATTTACATTATTGGTTCATATTTAGCTGTTTCCCATACAGGATAAGAGAGAGCTTCTTCCTTTCTTTTCAATGTGTATCCACAATTGTTCAGTTACCCACAGTAATTTTCTCCCCATCAAACACCTTGATCAGCCTTGTTGAAAATCAACTAATCATAGAATTTATGGCCCATTTATGGAGTGTTTTACATCCATATATATATATATAGCTTTATTCCAATACCACACTGCTTTGATCACTATTACTGTTTGAATTCAAGACTATTCAGCTATTTGAACAGTTATTTGACTTATACATGATTTTGGGAATCTGTTTTTCTATTCCTTGTAGTATTAGAGGTTAAACCTTGGACTTTGCATGCTAGGTCTAAGCTAAGTCTAAAGTATGCAGCTATTTCTACAAAAAGAGTAGGTAGACTTTAGATACCCAGTATGTAAATCATGTTAGTTAATGGCACCATCTTAATGGAACTATGTCTTCCAATCCATAAGCATGGGACATCTTCTCATTTATTTGTGTCTTCTACATTTTTCTTGAGAAATACCTTGTCATTTGCACTGTACAATCTTTGTCTTTCTTGCTTGTATTTATTCTTGCATATTTTAATTTTTTGATATTATTTTAAATAGGATGATTTTCTTACTCTTCTGGCATCATTCATTGATATAATGTAGATTGCAACTACATTTACATGTTAATCTTTGATCCTATAGCTTTTCTGAACTTATTGTTCTTAAGCACAAATATTTTTCCTTTGTTTTTCTGTCCTGGATTGGGCATCAATGTAATACAGGCCTTATACATGTCTACTCCAATTTTTATTTTGGGGGAGGAAGATTAGATCGGCCCTCATTTTGACTGTTCTCTTCAGTAGAATTTTCTTGTGAAGTTTGGTGCTGCGTTTAATTTGTGGAAAGATTGATTATTGATTAAATCTCTGTCTCTCTTTATGAATGTGCTCAGATTTCTAAATTTTTCTTCAGCCAAGTTTTCTACTTTGTGTAATTCTAAGAATTCCTGTTCATGTAGGTTTTTAATGTGCTGAAATAGTTATTTATATAGCCCCTTATGATCTTTTATATTTCTCTTACTTTTATAATAATGTTCACATATTCGTTTCTAACTTTACTTTTTTCAATGTTTCTCTTTGATTCCCCTATCCCATTGGAACATTTATTATCTAAACATTTTCATTTCATTGCCCTGTGTTTAAATAGTTGTACTTTGGTTTCATTGATTCTGTTGTTTTCATGTGGTATTTCCTTTATCTACACTCTAGTCTATTATTTTCAGACTCCTTTCATCTTTGGCTTTAACTTGCTCTTCTTTTCCTGATTCTGGAAGAGGCACTACTATATTCTTGATTTGAGGTGTCATTTTCACTCATGCTATTATTGGGAGTTGTAACTTCAACTGTGAGGAAAGACATTGCTGTGTCCAGTAAGGTCAGGTATCAGTTTTCTCTAAACATTTCCTGATTTCCTTTGTTGTTTCTTCTCTGACTATCTCTTTCCATGTATGTATGTGTTTTCCAGTTCCACATCTGTTGGTGATTTGTACTTTCAGTCCCCGGCTGCGGAAGAAGTTACTTTATACATAGTCCTTTTAAATTTTTTGAGAGTTAGTTTTAGCTAAATGTTTCCCTAGTTCTAATTCTGTCATGATGTGTTTTATTTTGTTTTTGGTTTGGTTTGATTTGGTTTGGTTGGTGGTGGATAGGTGCATACAATATATTTTATACTGCACGTGTAAATTTTAATTGGAAGCACCACAGCCTACTCTAACTGTACTGAATTTCATTGAGTTCTACAGACTTTGAGTCTAGTTGATTGTGGTGTGTGGTGTTTTTATTTACTTGAAAGTTGTTTTATAATAAAGCTAATAAAATAAGTAAATAAATTTATTGAGACTTGCTTTGTGACTCAACTTATGGTCTACCCTAGAGAATATTCCACACATGATTGAGAAGACTGGATATTATACTAGAATTATTTTTTGATTCATAAAGTAGCTGAAATTATAAAAGAAAACTATTTGGTTGAAATATAGTTATTAAACATTTTAAATATACAGTATAGCAATCTGTGAACTTTTAAATTAAAACCCAGGATAAGATGGACTATCTACAATGTAGCAATGTGCATAAACATTTTATTTTAAAGTATCTACAGTGATATGAAATATATTGGTGATATCTACTGGTGACAATGTCATAAATACTACAAGTAAGTCTGTGGTATTAGTAGTCAAAGGAAACGATACTTTAAATAAACATTAGTAAAGGTCAATATGCCTCTTTCTACTTACCCCCACCTTGGTAGAGCTGATGAAGTTTATGCCCAAGCACTTTTGTGGTTAAGGACCGTTGGTTAAGCCCTTACTTAGTTGGTCTGTTTTCTGTTTGAAAACCTGCTCTAAACATCAGGAAGTTTTACTAGAGCTACAAATAAGTCATCACAGCCCTGGAAAAGGAATTTAGGATTTTTCTGCTCGTGGCTCTTAGGGCCAGAATAGTTAAAAGTGTGAGTTCATCTAGTGTCCTGAAGACGCTCTAGGTGGAAGAAAGGAGTCTAAACTCTTACTTCTGCTGCCATTTGAACTTAATCTTAAAAAATGGTTTAAGAGAAACCCTTAGGCATTTAGTGAGCAGAAAAAGAGGTCACCTTCCTAAGGCTTAATTATTATTTGTGAAGCACCAAGAGGTCTCTGTAGAAAGGGTCTTGTAGAAGGGAAAATTATATTTTTCTAATTATTATCATTAAAAATAGAATATTTACAAGGAGTTGGGCTGAAGGCCATCTGGCCCAAGTGCATTACTAAGGAAGGCCTTGAGTACTGGTAGGGAGGAGCAGAAGAACTTGAGAGTGAATGATGCTATTCATAGCTTCCCGGGGCTTTTGTTAATGTCATCGACTAGAAAGGGCAGTTAGAAGTTAAGCTAAGCACCAAGAAGCTCAAGGGCAAGAGTTAATGGAATTGTTTTTGACGTCTGAAAACACTTTTTTTCATATTTTGACATGAAAATATGACATTCTATATTCACTCACATGTATAATCTGTATGATTTCATTTAACCGAGAGATTGAGACAAGCATTTCAGACATGATTCTGTTTCCATGCAGGCTTGGCAACGACTTTATTTCAACAGCTCTCTGTGGATAGTATTTGCTCCTTAGCTACTTGGAAGAATAAGGTATCTGTCAAGCTATAAAATGTTCAGATTTTTAAGCTTTACTAATAGATTTACTAATTTATTTTAGTATTTCAAAATAATTTTTATGTAAAGAATCAGGTTCCTGGGCCTTAGATTTATTATTCAAATAAGTAGTTTTATCTACCTTTCTTAATTGTTACAAAAGATTATTTACATATTTCAAAAAGTTCAAAAGGATGATTGAATATTAGCATGCATAATAAACCAATGAAGGATTATGGTAAAAACTAAGGATGGAATATTTAAATAAGGATTTCTCCTGAGGATATGTTTTAGTATGAAGCTTCTGGGAAATAGAGATTTCTCAAGAGTTTTAAAATAGTCTTACAGAAGACTTCATAATTCTGAAACTATATTCCCATAAAACTAAAAAATATAGGAAATCTATACAAATATATTCACAACAGCATTCTTTATAAAAGTAAACAATGTGATAATTGGGGCTGGAAAGATAGTTTAGTTATTAACAACATTGACTGTTCTTCATAAAGACATAGGTTCAATTCTCAACATCCACATGGTGACTCATAACCAACTGTAACTCCAGTTCCAGGGGCTCTGATACTGTTCTCTGGCCTCAACTGGCACCGTACATACAAGTGGCACACAGACATACGTGGAAGCAAAATAGCCATACACATAAAATAGAAATAATTTAAAATCCAATCAAAATATGGTTGGCTACTCCTGTAACATGTGTTCTACTGTTGCACCAGCATATCTTGTGGGCAGGTTATTGCTGTAGGTTGTCGGGTTTGTACCTTCCAGCATGATCAAAACACTGAATGGAAGTCATAACATATACACAAAAGACCTGTAGTGTGAAAAGAAAGAAGAATATGTATATATATATATATATATTTAAATTGAAATTTAAAAATAATATATACATTTAAAAAAAAAAAGGAAAACCCCTGACACAACACAATGAAACAAAGAGCGTCCAAAGATGTCATTGCGTTCATCTTCTATTGAGCATCTCCTGCTGGGCATGCAACCACTCTTCTTTTTATGTTTTGTTTTTTAATTTTTAGTGAGCTTTACATTTTTCTCTGCTCCCCTTCCTGCCTTTCCCTTCCCCTTCAACCCTCTCCCAAGGTCCCCATGCTCCCAATTTACTCAGGAGATCTTAAGAATAATTGTATTCCACAGTGAGACTCCCTTAAAGGAAACTACTTTCTCCATTGCAAGTGATTATCAGTTGGAGACAGCTTCTGGGTTAGGATTGGGAGCATGGGGCCATTTCTCCTTTCCGCTATTGGGCCCCATTTGGTGCAGAGCTGTGCAGGCCCTGTGCATGCTGCCTCAATCTCTGTGAGTTCATATGTGCTTCTATCATTTGATTTAGAAGGTCTCAAGTTCTTATTTTGTTTTGTTTTTGTGTCCTCCATTTCCTGTGGCTCATAGACTATTATCACCTCCTCTTTCACAGAATTCCTTGAGCTCTGAGGGGAGGAATTTGATAAATTTTCCATTTGAGTGTTTCAAGGTCACTCACTCTTTGTAGGATGTCTGTTGTGGGTCTCTGTATTTGCTTTCATCTTGTTCCATTAATCTGCTTCCCTGGACTGGAGGGGGAGGGGGAGGGAGGAGCAGGAGGGAAATGGGAGGAGGGGGAGGAAGAGGAAATTTTGAATGGTATTATTTATAAAGCAATAAAAAAGAATGGTGTGATTGGTGTTGTATAATGGAAGTTTAGCTATATAAGGAGTATAGAATTTGTTGATTATTAAAGTAATATAAAAGATTTGTAGTAATGTAGGAAATATTCAATTGTGTGCTGTGTGGCAGGCTAGATGTCTAACAGTGTTAAAAGCATAAACCCTCAGCTGTGCATCAAGCAAGCTACTTACCTGTATCTGTTTCTTTTTATAAAAAAAAAAAAATAAGAGTAATATTGAACTTTATCATGACAGTACATTCTTTGTATGATAGTCATGAAAATGTGGAGTTAATTATGTCACTATATAATGCCTGTATAGTATCTTCCATGAAGTAGTGCTCTATAGAGGCTTGCTACTGTTATTGTCATTTAATGCAGAGTTGTCACCGTAGACTCGGGGAAAGAAGCCAGCAAACACTGGCAAATGATGTAAGTTCTTTAATATGGACTAAAGATGCCACTTACAGTGCAGAAATGGCTCTTCTGGGCAAGAGACATAGAAGTATCACCAATTAGGGGCTAGTCATTTTATGCCTTGGCTTCTACAAAGGTCCCACACCAGTGATTCCAGAGGACCAGTGAGAAGAGCTACAATCAGTCAGCAACTTGATCCATCCTCCTCCCACACGCAGATCAAGCATGCTAGTGGCTGCTGGCTCACCAGGCCACGATGCTAGCAGAAGTCCGTGCTCACTCCTAAATGAACATTAGATCCACCTGAATGGGATGTTTCTAAGCATATCTTCCTTCTAGCAAGCCTTGAATTTAAGGATGTAAAAAGTATTCCTAAATTACATGTTAGGTTAATAAAGAAGAGACCAAGAGTGTAATGTTATCACAAACATGATAACTTTGTGGACTGGGATGCAACTTAGTAGCAGAATATGTGTACAATAAGAACAACAACAACAGTAATAATAACTAATGCAATACNATATTTAATTCTCTTTCAAATTTGTTACCAAAATTCTATAATTTGAATATATTATTTAAAATATCTAAAACCATATCTAAAATGTAAACTCAGGAGAAACAATGGAGGCATTCATTATACTGTGTACTATGTTTTTCTCTGTGGGCTCATTTCAGATAACAAGGGAATGCAGTTTAATTCAGTACCTTAATGCTATCACCAGGAATGCTCATCCCTTGCATTCTTTCATTCTTTTGTTTTTCCTTCCCTCCCTCTTCTCTTTCCTTCCTCCATCATTCCTCCATTCCTTCTTGTTCCTTCTAATTTCCTTTTGTTTTCACGTAAGCCCATTGCTCTGTGCTTTTCAGCAGCAAAAATAATACAGGAACCAAACACACATGAATACTTGACCTAATTGGATCAAGTCAGGTCACATAATTGTCCCTGAAACAATGATTTTGCCTCAAAGAATATCTATAGTCCAATAAGTGTAGGTCTTGGATTCACGCTGATTTCTAAATCAATCTACTAACTAAACAAGATGAGATTATCCCAAATGGTTCAAGATAGAATTAAAATTTGCTTATTTAGAAAAGCCGCTATTTCCAGATTTTCTTTTTTAACTAAGGAAAAAGAAGAAACTCAGTTCTTAGAATTCTCTCTCCCTTCTCTGCTATTCTTTCTAGCGTTCAGTCAAATTCTGAAAAGTCACATATCACTATGATGTACAATGTAAAATCTGTCCTCACTGGCCTCAACTGTCTCATCTAGTCCTATCACTATATCCTGATACCATGGTTGATGCATTGTTTCAAAGCTTATGCCTCCTATCACAATGTACTTGAAATTTTTTTTAAAACTTTGCTCTTGTACACTGTAAAGATTTGTCACTCATATTGGTTTAATATAAAGCTGGTTTTTCAGTAGCCAGGCAGGAAGTATAGGCAGGGAAACCAGACTAGGAGAATTCTGAAAAGAGGAAAGGCAGAGAGTCAGCCACCAGCCAGATGTAGAGGAAGCAAGAAGAGAATACCTTACTGAAGGTATGAAGCCACGTGGCTAAATAGAGAGAAGAATTATGAGTTAACTCAAGTTGTAAGAGCTAGTTAATAATGAGCCTGAGCTAATAGGCCAAACAGTTCATAATTAATATTTGCCTCTGTGTGTTTCTTTGGGACTGAACAGCTGCCAGACAAGGCAGAACAGGAACTTCTGTCTACACAATATCAGTTCTCAGAGTCTTTTACTTTATTTTTGGCCACTTCTGTGCAATCTTGAAGTCTCTGCAGGAACACAAATGGCTTCTATGACTTTGTAAACCTAGTTCTATGCTACTTAGAGATCAACCATCCCTCATTTGTGATGTACTCATTGGATCATTTTATAGAATCACAACCACTCTGAGATTTTAGCCTCCTGGACTTTTCCATGGCCACCTAAGAATTAAGCATGTTTTCACCTCTTACCCAGTACTTAGCCTCCCTGCTTTCTTCATGGTAAAATATTTCTTATCCTTGCTTTTAGCTTCTTTTTCATTCTAACATGTTATTTTTGATAAACTTTATGGTCTCATTATTCAGGCTTTGGTTCTTGTTTTGAAAGCAACATTTTGACAATTCTCCTTGCCTTCTCACCTTCTTGTTCTTGCTTCTTGCAAGAATTTGACTTTCAAGGTGATTATCTTCATTGTTGGCTTTAAAAAGCCTATCAAGCTGATATAACTGGCTCCAGGCAACACCCAGCCTGACAGAAGTCTAAACTTATCTTCCCTTCTGGCTAGGAAGTTATTCAGTAGAAATCTAGAGAAGACAGTAGAACTATAGTCATGTTTGGTAAATTCCAACCTAAGGGTTATTAAAGAATAATTTATGGTGGGATAAAACCAAATTGGCTTATTCAACTAAAGAAAAGTAATGACTAAGTTTTGCCAAGTGACTAGTAAACACAAATATTATCCGTGCATAATCTCTAATTTTCTCTTCAAAAATATCTTTGTAAGGCAAACCACTATCTATACCTAATTAAGATTCAAAACTGCCAGTACTCGGCATTAAGTGCTACCAACAATATTCAGGTCCATATTGTCAAATGGCAAAGAAAAGTTTTCCCTGCTTTCTTAGGAATTGAGAAGTAACCATTGGAACTACATTAGCTAGAGATGAGGGTGATATCGTGATCGCTAAGCTATGGAGCTGATATCTCCCATAAATATATATGGCACAAATGTTTTTTCTCACTAAATTAGTAATTCCCTGACCATCATGCCGAGTAGCACATAATAGCATCCGGGCAGCAGAGCCACGTAATGTTCTCTAGTCTGTACAGGTAACTCAGTCTCTGTAGACTTCGACAGACCAATAGAGGTGTCATGGTCCCAGAGTGAAGCAGTGAACATAAACTGTACCTTAATCAAATGTAAACACATTGTTGCTGCATTTTCCCCGGATAGGATTAAGAAAGGCCCACTGCATATCACTGGCCAGCTTTTAACAACATGTCAAACACCAGAGTCTGCATACCCTCTCTAGTAGGGACAACACATTTAACACAGCAACAGTGATTAAGGTTGCCACTTGCTTGCTTTTTTGGGCTCTCACAACCAGGCTTAAGGCTGTAACTAGTTTTCCAGGGAACAAGTTCCCATTGGATAAGAATACCGTGTGGGGGAGGATGTTTACATTTTGTGTATGGAGGGGGAGTTCAAGACAGGGTTTCTCTGTGTAAACAGCTGTGGCTGTCCTGGAACTTGCTTTGTAGACCAGGCTGACCTCAAACTCACAGAGATACATTGGTTTTTTTAAAATTGATTCATACTTCCCTGGTCAGGTAAACAAAGTAAGAGTCCTGATATCTGCTAGTCACACAGAGCCCAGTTATGTACTTGAAGAGCAGCAAAATAACCATAGGATAAGACATAAAGGAAAAGAGCTTGGGATAAAAGTGCATTTTCTGCCCAACTTCCATAGATCTATATTTAATAAAAGAGTTGTGATCATATTTTGGGTCTCCCAATATTAGATCCCCTCACCTACTCACTAGCTGTGATCATATTTCATTCCTCTGGTGTTAGATCCTATATCCAATCATCCTTATAGGTTCTGGGCATTATATTTTGCCAAATGAAGAGCAACCTGTAATTGGCCTTAGGTCACACTTAGGAAGGATAAAGGAAATCTCTCAAGTTTTCCCAGCTTCCCTGTCAGCCAATGGGCTGGGGCTTGTGAACTGGCTTAGATCT